GCGCATTCATACTAAATATAGTCATAGATCATACCCATACATTTTGCCTCTCAGTTCACTCTTGACAAATGTCACATTCAGAGTTTCTTTCATACATCACTTTGGGGGGGGGGGGGGAAGACAGAGCCACCCTCAGATTCTCCCCACCTGGGGTTGCTCTGCCTCCCCCCCCCCTTCGCGAAGATTAGCCTAAAGGAAACTCTACGTAAAGACCACTTTTAAGATCAGATAACATTAATTAGGCGGTGACTTTTGTTTTCGGCATTAGATTTTCAATCCTTTTTTACTCTTGAATCAATGACGTCCTTATGTTTTCTCTAGAGCCTTCTTGACAGACACACATACTAGCAAAACTATTATTATAGATTAAGATATAAAGTGTGAAAGCGCAACAGTGTGCAAGAGAGAGAGAGAGAGAGATAGAGAGAGATAGCTTTATACCACGAATGCATTAGTTGAGTTTGTAATTAGGAACACATTTTCAAATTGAATAATACTATGGTTCTTTCAAAGCAATCTTAAAGATCATAAAGTAAAAAATATTGCGTATTGTTTTTGAGATAAGAAATGCAAATAATGACGTAGGCATAATGAGGTTTTATGACCTCTCTTACTGTGCTCGATAAACGTAAAGCATTATATGACAGCAAGAAGTACAATCAGAGAGTACTTAAGTGTTACACATTTTAAAAATATACGATAAAATCGTGCTAATATTTATGTGCAGTCTTAATCGGATTTAGACGATAAGGCCACTTGCTATTTGGCTTTAGGACCATTATAATTCCTGATATCATATGTCAGTCAGTTGCGTCCAGTGGCGTTGGCATAAGTTAGTAACCTCGAATTGTCTAATTATAGTTTATTTAAATCCATGAAGGAACCAAATTAAAGTTTCGACGTTTGAACTAAATTTAATGTAGACGTGACTACTTTATCTTACAAGGTCTATTAAAAACCGCAAACCTGACCTTTTTGTCAATGTATTGCGTTGTAAAATAATAAAAAGATAAGGTTGGGTTAGTCATTAAACCTTATTTGTTTTTTACAAAATACTACATTGGCCTACTTGTTGGCTTACAAAAAGTATAAATGTCTTCGAAAAGTGTTGTAGCATTTTAATGATTTTGCGCAGGCCTAAGGTTATACCATTGTATGAATCTAATAGAATTATTTTCTTTTATCATCCACGTCAGTAAGTATTGTAACTAATTTAGGTATTATGATTATTAAACTATTATCATCGATATAATTGATTTAATGGTAGTTAAATTTAAAATAAAATGCAATATTATTTTATTTTGTCATTTCATTTGGTATCTGTGAAATGATCATGCAGTTAGGCATGTTAGGCCTTGTTAGGCATGTTTGTTGTGAAACCCTTGTTTTAATTTTAAACGTATGTGGAAGAGGTAAGTGAAATATTCGAATATGCCTTATTAATCTTTTGAATAATTAACTGACCAATCCTAACACTAACTAACACTAACTAACTGTTCCGTAGCTCTGCAAATTACAACCGTCTCTAACCGCTTCCTAACACCTTCTCTACTCTTCGCTATCTATCTATCCACTGCCCACACTAACTAATCATGATCTAACAGTGGCCCACGCTTCAGAGGTCAGCTGACCGTCCCACGTGACATGTCAGTTCACGTATTTTTATTGGTCTCTCTCTCTGACTAGTCTGACCAACTTGCTATAGCCTGCTTCTGCTATCTACCTGAGCTCGACGCAACCTTGCGTCATCACACTCCTGTATACGAGAGGTTGGGTTAGTCATTAAACCTTATTTGTTTTTTACAAAATACTACATTGGCCTACTTGTTGGCTTACAAAAAGTATAAATGTCTTCGAAAAGTGTTGTAGCATTTTAATGATTTTGCGCAGGCCTAAGGTTATACCATTGTATGAATCTAATAGAATTATTTTCTTTTATCATCCACGTCAGTAAGTATTGTAACTAATTTAGGTATTATGATTATTAAACTATTATCATCGATATAATTGATTTAATGGTAGTTAAATTTAAAATAAAATGCAATAGCCATCTGAATATTATTTTATTTTGTCATTTCATTTGGTATCTGTGAAATGATCATGCAGTTAGGCATGTTAGGCCTTGTTAGGCATGTTTGTTGTGAAACCCTTGTTTTAATTTTAAACGTATGTGGAAGAGGTAAGTGAAATATTCGAATATGCCTTATTAATCTTTTGAATAATTAACTTACTCAACAAAACAAAAAAAAAACAGTGTAACAAAATCATTGACCTTTATTACAATGTCTCAGCAGATTAGTTACTAATTAGTAAGTAATAAGCAGGCCTAATTTATTTTATACGTGTGTTTTGGCTAAGCATTACAATTATTTTTATTTAGATACTAAGTAATTTTTGTGTGCTAGAATAATTTATCACTCTCACATTTTCAATGTTTAAACTACAACGTAACTTTTGAATTAACAGGCTTCATCATAAGACTAGAACAAGGCAACCTGCTGAATTTATCCTTTACTAAATAATGATGAAATTGCCATCAATGCATTCAGCTGCTCCATTCAACAAGTTTACATTTTTATCTAACTGGAAGTTCACAATGTTTTATATAAAGGTAAGTAACTTGAATTTTTCAGTGCATATCTGAAATTCATGATCGTCTCCCCTGATCCTTTCTACTTGCTTTCTTGACATCCAAATTTTATAACATGTGCAACATAAGGGGTCTTCTATAAATGACGTCACACTTGTAGGGGGAGGGGGGGGGTCAGATGATGCGACGTCACACTTTTGCATTATAGAAAAGCACAGTGGGAAAGCAAATTTTAGACGTAATTTCGCGTTTTGGAAAACTATTTTAGTAAATTGTAAAAGGAATTGATTAAAAAACTCTATTTTGACAGATCACATATTATATACCAAATAATGCTAATTACAGCAAAACCAACCAAACAATGCTTATATAATATAATATATTTATATTATATTTCCCTTACTCCATTATGAACAAAATAGTTATGTTGTATGTATTAATACTGCTCTATTTCTTAAAATAGTATATGCACTAAAAATCACAACAAATCATAACCTGTTAATTTCAAATTGGTTTAATTAATATTTCTGAACACTGTTGATATATTTTTATACTTGTATTATTTATGCCAAATATTTTATACTAGCCATCGGTCCCCGTTACACGGACAACTCTGGTGACTGTTAGCTCTCTTCTCTTTACATATAGGCTACCCGGTTTTTCTTTTAGATATTTATCTCCGGGTACGGCATTTAAAATTGTCCGGGCGAACATGGGGGGTGTGTGTGGGTGTGTGTGTGTGCGTGGTGGGGGGGGGGGGGGGGGGTTGGAGGTAGCGGATACTGGTTTTTCTGTTGTTTTTTTTATGCAAGGGGAAGAAACGGTAGATATGCCTAAAAAAACTGTATATATCTACGGAAAGTGAGTAATAAAATGAATTGTGATTCAGTTTTTAAAAGAAGTCATTATCGGAAAATTAGAAAAAAGAAACATTTTATTATCAAGAGCATTGAAATGAAACATTGTTAAGATTATGAAAAAAAAACACACGAAAAGAAGGGGTTTTGTTATATGTACTATCTATGTTTATAATTGTTTGAAATAACATAGACTACTAATACCTATTAGATAAATTAAAACCAAATTATATACATTATTAGTCAACACCATATTAAATGCATACGCTGATTAAGAGGTTTAAAATTAAGAGACTTAAATGATTTTGTCACGATCCAAACACTGACCCCTACACACCCCACTCAAGGAAAAACTATATGGGTCACCCGCTGATCTGGAGACCACAGTCCAGTTCATACACGAAGTTGGGCTTGTTTAAATCCTCCATCATATACTTAATTAAGAACGAAGAAGAAGAAGAAGAAGAAGAAAGATGATTTTGTTAAAATCCGGATGTTTAATGGTAGTTATGTTGCTTTTGCCTAATAAAAACACCTATTTCGGTCTGACCACACTATCGTTTCATATACTAAGAAGACAGATACGGGTGAACTCTACTTCACCTGCACCGTGTCCCGCCAAATCCCGATAAGCAATTTTATTATTCATATCTAAAAAAAAAATGTAAAAAAAATTAAGACATTTACATTATGTGTCTCGAACCCGTACCACCCGCATGGTAACTATTACACTATCAACTCAGCTATCTGGGAAGTTCCAAATAGATATAAAATTAGTGGTGTAGTTTACATAGAGAGTCCGCTTAGAAACTAAGTTACATGAATAGGCCCTATTATTTCAAATTAAATTTTATCCCAAATTAGACAATTCCGTAACTACGCCAACAAAGATTTATATAAAATAATTAAGATACTTTTCATAGCGTACGTAGATGTAAATCGATTTTGAATGAAATAGTTCATTTCTTTATATTAAAAAATTGGAAGATGACACAATTAGTTTTGTATTCTTTCCTTAGTGTAAAAATATGACATGTGACGTCATTGTATAATGCGTTCTTGACACGACAATAAACGCTTTAGCTAGAAATCTGTTCTACATTCGAATATGCTTTTATTTTTATTTTCCTTCTTTAAAGAAATTTTAGTTTATACATTTATACCATCCACCATATTATTTTCAACAAAAGTCCCCATCTTTAAGTTCTCCATATATCGCTGAACATGCTGACGACGTTGACAAAAATATTGTGGACAGAGAGAAGTGCGCACATTGTCTTTTATATATTAGGATTAGATAATTTTTATAAGAATACGATTGCCTCATATGCCGAGGTCACAGAAACAAATGAACTCTACTTCATTAGCCCTATAGACCGTCAGGTTTGAAAGGGAACTCATTGCAACATCCTCTAAGACATTTTTAAATCTATAATCTATTAAATCTATTATACAATGTCGGGTGGTAACTGGTTATATTATAAAATAGTAGGACTAATGTAATGCTATTCGACATTCATCACATGTTAGCAGGTATGCATGGTAGAGCATATAAAAGAAGAAATGAGATCAACCTAACAACAACAACGTCTTTGCAATGATATTTTTCATCTAGAGAATCTGCAAAAATACTTAAATATGAGCAGATACAAGGTAAAGCAATTACGATTCATGCTGAACCTCAATTTTCCCATATGTTTGAGTAATTTACCGTTGTCCCTATAATTTATTTTTTATGTTATCGTATTTAAGTATGTATAACAAAGACAGTAAGCCCACTAGTCTGTTTAAAATTTTCCACATTCTTATGAATGAAGTAGCCCTAGGTTCCCCCAAAGTATAGCCACCCCCCCCCCCCACACACAATCTATTATGAATTGACCTTCTATCTAATACACAAATATATATATATATATATATATATATATATATATATATATATATATATATATATATAATGACCTGAGTAGGAGGTTTAAATGACCTGGGGGGGGGGGTGGCATTACTAGCACTATAGTAGCCAATCACAATTTTTTTTTGCATAGGGATTGTAAGGGCCAGATAAATCAATACTTCACACGCCTATAAAAACCCCTACATCTGCACAGACGTTCATTCTCTCTTCTACGCGTGGTTCGTGAAGTTTACTGCCAGATTTGAGAACCTGTAAGTTATTGATTTAAATAATGTGTTTGCACAGTGAATTCTTAAAATGTTTTCAAAAGGATATGTTATTATAATCTTAACGCACAATTAACTCTTCTGATATGTTTTATGAACTTGCTATTTTTTGTTTTCCGTTTCTTATATATATATATATATATATATATATATATATATATATATATATATATATATATATATATATATATATATATATATATATATATTTGCACGTACTAACTGAAAATAATATATATATATATATATATATATATATATATATATATATATATATATATATATATATATTTGCACGTACTAACTGAAAATAATATGATTCGTACATCAGTAATTAAAATTCGATGACTACTTTGTTATCAACATGTTTATTTTAGAAATTAAAATAAAATACCGTATTTATTACTACATTGACTAAATACCTACAAAAGCTCTAGTATAAAAAATCATTTGTTTTATTGAGGCACGCCCATCTTTTAGTATAAAATTGTCGTTTGTTTTAGTAGGTTGAAGCGTGCATAAACCTTGAGTAGTGGCTAAGTCTCTCTCTCTCTCTCTCTCTCTTCTCTCTCTCTCTCTCTCTCTCTCTCTCTCTCTCTCTCTCTCTCTCTCTATATATATATATATATATATATATATATGCCTATATATATATATATATATATATATATATATATATATATATATATATATATATATATATATATATATACAGATATATTTACGTGTGTACATATAGATACAACATTTAGCATTATTTCTTTTTATTTATAGCATTTAAAGGCCAACATGTACAGCATAATATATGGTATAATAATTTAATATTTTTTTTACTTTTAATTTATAACCATTTTTAACTATATTACCGGGGTCGGAGTGGTCGAGTCGGTAAAGCTCATGGTTGCTAAACCGAAAAGCTACGAGTTCGAACCCTCGGGCAGATGAGGCTCGTTAGCTGGGGACAGCCACTCTTCTAGGAGAGACAACTCCAAAAGTAAACAACTGCTGCCTTGTAGTTTGTTCTTGGTTGGACAAAGGCTATGGAAGCAAATCCAAAAAGAAAAGCAGGCTGAAATCGGAGTCAATGGCCTCAATGGCGCATAACCAGTTGACACGTAACGCTTAATTGTGTTGGAGGCGTGGTCGAGTCGGCAAAAAGGTTGATAAATTCGAACAAAGTCTCTAGTTCAAACCCACTGGCAGATAAATCTCGATCCCCTTCAACACTAATAATTAAGAACGAAGAAGAAGAAGAAGAAGAAACTATATTACCGAAACGAGGCATTCTTGTTTAAGGGATATGTTTCTAGGTGTGGAACGAAAATTAATCAAATATCTGTTTGCCTTATAATTGGTTGCTGTGAATTTGTAATGCATAGAGCAAAAAAGTAGTAATTCATGTTTTTCAAAGTAAAGTTCTCATTTTAAAGACCGCATTTGGTTAATCTGTTTTTTATTAATAAAAATAGTTCAACATATTTTCATTTACGTTCTGTATAGTAAAATATAACAATAAAAGCCGTTGCATTTCATCAACTTAATATGTGTTACGACTGATAATTCATTTAGTATCTTGTATTTCCAGCATCTCTTGTCTGTTTGCTTTTTGCGGCAGGTAACACTTTAACTTTTTTACAATATAAAAAAAAAATAGAATAAAACTATACACACACATACACACGCACACCACATACACAAACAAACACATACGCTCATATAAATAAATAAATAAATAAATATATATATATATATATATATATATATATGTATATATATATATATATATATATATATATATATATATATATATATATATATATATATATATATTTAAATGTTCATATAAAACTAGACAAATGTTTATCTTTGATATTTACTAATTAAATATATTACATTTTTTTCTTCAGATTCGTTTGCTATTTCCAATAACGGTAACAATTAATAATTTAGTTTGCAATAGAAGCGAAGATTGGAGATTTTAAATATAAAAAGCAAAAAAATATACAAATTTAAGCTAAACTGTTAGTTTTTTTTTTCTTTTAAACATGTCACTAGTTTTTTTCCGTTCTATACGTGTCTGTCATTGTTTAGTATTATTTTAAAGTTTTAATTCCAGTAAATTAACTGCTGTTAAATGTATTGCTGTGCCATATTAATTATTTTTGTTTAAAAATCATAAAATCCAAAGACACTGTGTTTATCACCGATGTCAAAAACGACTTGTTTGGAAAATGCTATTCCAAATGCCAAACCATACGCGAAGAACTCAAAGTTGCAACTGATAAGACAGTGCAATGCAGGTGAGATAATACTAAAGTTAATAGACAAATATTTCTTTTTTTCTTATATAAATAAAATTTACACTGATAGTCGATGGTAACGGAAATGAAAGGATATAAAATCAATGAAATAAATACAAGAATTACAAATATTTTTACATAATTGATATTTAAGTAATTGTTTAGTATTGAATTTAAAAAAAAAATGTTTTATAAATATCTTTCACAAAATGGTATAGTAAAGCTGACGAATACACAAAATGTTTAAAAACGGACGATAACTGCGTTAAAAATACAGAAGCTAATCAACTTGATACCTTAAACACAGACGTCCAGAAGTTTTGTGGTAATATAATTTTATCTTTGCTGTTAAAATAGTTATTTATTGGATTTGTATGCATGCTCATCTCTATTCTCCCCCACCCCTTCACACGATAACACACACATATATTTTTGCTCTCTGCATTTGTATTTAACTTCTTCTTTAACGATCAGAGTTGTCGCAAAAGGGATATCCTGAGGTATTAGAACACTAATATTGTGCGCTTATACCAATGAATGACTTTAAATATTGCACTATTTTCTTTATTCTGATGTTCTTAATAGACTTAAAAAGCTGGTTCAAAATGGGTCCATATTTTTTTTGCCAGAAAGCATATTTTATAGCCAAAATAGAATATTGTTTAACATGTGTGTAATAAGTACACAATTACTTCCGGTTTCATTAAGGCTAGAAATAGTCAAAGAAATAATTACTAGTAATATAATAGTAATTAAGCAAACACTTTAATTTTCAATTCGGAATAGTAGAGTCAGGGTGTTATGGTGATTTTGGATCTTATAATATTTAATAAAAATGCAATACCCCTCTATACACCGTAAATCACTATTGTATATTTTTATCATGTAAAACAATCGTTCTACTTTTCTTTTTTTACTCTCCCTGGCCATTCCGGTTGACTCCAAGGAGAGGTTGTGGGCAGTTTTTGAAAATATTTCAATACTATTTTACAGTTTTTAGACACAGCACGAATTCTGTCGAAATCATTCGATTGCTCAATCAAATTAAATACACACGGCGTATAATTAATAAAAGAATACATTTAGTTATGATCGAGTATAACAAACGGATTATATTTAATCAAGTATATTATTATCTTTCCTACTATAAACGTCACTTTATAAATATCACTTTGAGCAATAACAAAGGGTAACATTTAGTCAAACAAAAATAGTAAAACATTTATCTGATTATTCGTCCTCTTGTTTTTGTAATCTTTTCTTTTTCTATAGCTTTAACCTATTTTAAGATTCGATCATGTACTATTAATGTGAAAAAATCATTCAACTGCCTTGTCTCAATACTCCAGAGCTTAAAAAGTATTATGTAGCAACTGCAGCGGAATATAAAATCAAATGTAAAAAGTGTACTATCGCAATGTCTTATATATTATTATATATTATATGTACGACTTTTTAAACATGGAAAAAATATTATTATACGCATGCTATTAACATTAGACAAGAAAAGCATTTTAAGAACTGTTTTTTGCATTTGCAGAATCGATAACACCAGCCGCAGCAGAATCTAGTATGTATTTTAGCACCCCAACCCCTTAATTTTTACATACATAAACAGTATGGATTGCATGAGATATACCCTTTTTCTCATAATTTAGCACTTATTCAAACACCTTAAACAGTTTAATTTTCATCACTTAACTGCAATCATACAATGATTGTCTATTTATTTATTTTTAATTCTTTTAACTAATTGTGCATGAATGTAACAAATGAATTAAAAATGTGTTGCATTTACAGCTACGAAAACAACACCAACAACCACAACAGGTAAGTTTTGTATCAAACGCTTCCAATCGTTAACTATATCAAACTTATTACATTTGGGCGAGACATTCTAGTTTGTTTTTATTTTAATGGTAAAGATGATTATTTAAAAATTTAAATGTTATTAAATAGGCCTAATACATTAAAAGAAAATAACAACGATAATACTAACAATAATAATTAAAATACAATTATAGTAATAATAATAATAATAATAAGAATAATAATAACATTATTATTATTATTATTATTATTATTATTATTATTATTATTATTATTATTATTATTATTATTATTATTATTATTGTTATTATTATTATTATTATTATTATTATTATTATTATTATTATTATTATTATTATTTTTATTATTATTATTATTATTATTATTATTATTATTATTATTATTATTATTATTATTATTATTATTATTATTAATATAATACATTGAGTAAATAATACATAATAATGTAAATTTTAAGTTCAAAAGCATTTTATCTCATATTAATAAAACCTTATTCATCACCTTAGCTTTGATGAACTTATAGACATTTTATGATTGCAGCAACAACTGCTCCGACAACTCCCGATCCTGCTATTGCTAACCCTGCTAACCCATTAGGTAGTACCATTTTTATTATTTAGCATTTTGGATGAATGCAAAATTTATTAATTAAAATGTTAACGGGTATGCACTTAAAAAAAACCGCTGTTTATGGAATCTTAAAAAAATATTAACCTAAAATGAGTAAAAACCAGATAGAAAAAGTATTTTAATTTGCGCTACACAGGCATAGGCCTACAATGTTTAGATATGTCTTTAAAACAGTGTTTAACTAATCCTTATATTCTTATATGTAAGTTAGGGTGTTAGAATCTTGTGATTAGTACTACTGCTTTTGAGAAAATGTAAGCCCTCTGTCAGTCTAAGTCAGTTTTCGGCCATTGAGATGACCATAGATTACCTGTTTAAATGAGAGTAGATTGCACACTTATATATATATATATATATATATATATATATATATATACGGTCAGAGCCCAAAGTGCGGTCATAGCACGCATTGGCCGGCCAATGTGCGCATTGACCGGCTCTCTTGGCCAAAGTCCGAAGAGCTTAGCACTGAGAGCGTGTTTTGTAATGTTCGCATCCGTATACCAGATGTTGACAGAGGTCGCCGTGAACACTAAAGCGTCATTGCAGTTGGCATGAGCGTCGTGGGCTCTTTCTACAAGCTAGAAACGGAACATAGTGTTCTAAAACAACTATATGCTAGAAGTGAGTTATCTATTCTTCACGAAAAACTGCTCTCATTGTCGTCCGTTGGCACTGAGGATAAATCACTACAAACCATCGCATCTTCACAATCACTGACCGGCTGACAAAGCTACATTTGCTGCAATTGCACAACCAAGTGCACAACAAATCGCTGAAAGTGTAAAAATAACAAGCTACTATGCAATTCTAAATACTATAAAAGTTCAACTTATTGTAACAAGTGATAATATTGATTGAGATTATAGTACAATAAAATAATTTGAATGTTTCTGTCATTTACTTTAATTAATAATCAACAAAGACTTAATTTCGTGTTCCTTGCGGTATAAAAAAAACCCTAAATCTACTCATGATCTTCTAATTTGGACTGTGGCCGGTCGTCCCTAGCCATATGATCTTCTATTTAGGACTTTGGCCGGACCACCATGGCCAGTCCGCGGATTTGCCGGCCAAAGACCGAAATCAAGTTAATTTTCTGACTTTGACCGATCAATAAGAGGCGATATTGGCCAATGCGTGCTTTGACCGTCTCTGATCCCGTTACCCCGTGGTCAAACTCTGGTCAGCTCAGGCTTCTTTGTGGGCGATTATCAGTGGTTCGCTATCCCACGTCACCGATGTCAGATCCGATAAGTGAGCTGGGCGGTTACGCCCCTTTGTTACCTGGCCAACGGGTCCGCTTTTGATCACAGGGATGGCTGCCTCGGGTCGTCCCGCGATCAGCTTGACCGGTGGGTCGCCATTCAGCTGACCGTTTCAATAAGTGTCATGGGCGGTTCTAGTCCCTTTGTTAGATAGAGTTGGTCTGGCCACCGTTTCCGCTGGACCGGTGGGCCTCTATTCAAGTGGCAGATCCACTAAATGGTTTGGCCACACCCAGGGTGATGTAAGAGCTAACGGCTGCTGTAGATAAAAAAAACCCGGTTGTGCATGGTATCCTGCCCCTTTTATAGCCCTAACCCATTGATCGTAACTACCCCTAGTAATATATATATATATATATATATATATATATATATATATATATATATATATATATATATATATATATATATATATATATATATATATACATATTTGTAACTAGGTGGAAAGTTCTTATCACAACCATAAATACTTTTCCGGTTGCATAATTAAAGATGGGTTTCTACATTCGAATACGCCTTGATTTTATTTTCCGTCTTTAAAAAACATTTAATTTATTACATCATATTCATCCAACATATTATTTTTAACAAAACTCCCTATCTTTAGGGTCTCCATATATGGCTGAAGATGTTGATCTCATAAATCCGGAAAATATGTGACTGACAGAGAGAAAGAGAGAGAGAGAGAGAGAGAGAGAGAGAGAGAGAGAGAGAGAGAGAGAGAGAAGTGAGCACGTGTGCTTAACGTATTAGGAATTATATATATATATATATATATATATATATATATATATATATATATATATATATATATGTTTGTGTGTGAATGTGTATGTGTGGGTGTATCCGTGTGAGTCTGAGTAGATGTTTGAATAAATGACTTGTTTTTCAGCTCGTAGAAGGAGAGCTGCTGGTAAGATTTAATACGTTATTTTTAAAAATAAATAATACTTTGAAATAAAAAAGACGAAACACCTAGTTAAAGAAGGAAAATCCAAAGAATATGCATAGGCGTACTTGTACGCTTTTTCTCGTAGCAGATATAAAAGCCGCTGTAGACGAATTGCTAAAGAAGACCGAGACGTGCTCAAAAGAGCTGTGTTTGACGGATCAATCTGCTATGATTTCTACTGATGGAGCAACCATTGACTGCACGTAAGTGGTAGATCTAATTTTTAAAAAAATATATTAAGTTTTTAGAAACAGATTATGAATCAATATGTATATAGGCCTATATACGTGAGCCTATATATATATATATATATATATATATATATATATATATATATATATATATATATATATATATACATATATATATATATATATATATTTCAGGCTGTTCGGAAAATACGGGAAGTGTTTAGTTGAGGCATGCCCTTCGCTAAAGTCAACATTTAATAAATACAACGCAAAGTGTGGTATGTACTGCCCTATTATACATAGACTTTTTCTTTATGTATGTACTGTTAAAGTATAGGCGTATAGTCTAAAATTAATTTTGTAGGTTAGCGTTGTTAACAACAAACTTTATGTATATGGATATGTATATGGATGTATATATATATATATATATATATATATATATATATATATATATATATATATATATATATATATATATATATATATATATATATACATATATATATATATATATATATATATATATATATATATATATATATATATATATATATATATATATATATATATATATATATATATATATATATATATATATATATATATATATATATATATATATATGCTGGAAGAATTTTTAACAATGTTTTGCAAAACAATTAATATTTTTGTAAATTCTTTAACTATGAAAAAACAGCCCTCTAGAATTAAAAAAAAAATGTCGTTAATCATCTCCATCATCTACCTAATGTAATATCAGCAGTGATCTTTTATCCTTGTTTTTATAGCAGAGGCTTAGTTTATTTTCAGAGAAATCTTTTATCTGGTCATTATTTCCTATGATATCTCGACAATATAATGTATTAAATCATTTATAAACCTTCAAATAATTTTCAAACATTACTTGCAATAAAAATAACCAATAGAAAGATTGTCTTTGCACAATAAACAGCGTGTATTATATAACGATAGAGAGTCGTAGCTATATTAAAACGACTAATTACTTAAAACGTTTTATTTTTATATTTAGACATAATACATTTCTGCAAAACGCTTTTCTTAACACAGATGACGTCCCTCTCTCTCGAAATTCATCCTTGAGTTTGGAAACGGCTGTTATATTTTTATCTTCTTTTTTTTTTCTAATATGTTCTTCTCTTTCGTTTTTAACCCTCAGGCGCAGCCAACATACAGCTCTTCTCATATGCACTGTTTATGGCTGGACTGCTGTTCAAAATATTGGTTTAACTTCTCAATGGTGCCAAAAATTCCGTCCGCATTCTAACGTATCTATTGTGGGAAAATGACTCAACTTTATTACAAAAAAAATTACAGAATTGTTTTTTTCATAAAAGAAAACTTTCAATTTTTTAGGTTTTTAAATGAATACCAAAATTGTATAACAAGCGTTTGTTTGGCAATTGATACTTTTTCCTCACTAATTTATACTTTCAGTAGTGTTGTTGATGAAAACCAATAATAGATGTTGGATTGCTATTGTATTTGTTTTATACGTTTTTAATTTACGCAGTATTGTGTTTAATTATTTACAAGTAGGTTTAAACTGTATTATAATTTTAGCTGTTAATTAAATGAATGAATCCATTTTGATTAAATATGAATATTTCAACAAGATTTTTTATTATTCGTGACAAATTTGTAAAATCATACACATCGTATTTTTTTATCCGTCCAAAATCTATGTACTTTTTCAAAATAAATTGTATTTTTTACATTTTTAGAGAGTGTTAAAAAAATAAAATTTACCTTACAATAAAGTTTGTTTCTCGTTATATATTTGTATATAGCATATTAATGTACTAAATAAAAGTACTATATGTTTAACATAATAGAACTACACCATGCAATAATCATCATTATTGGAGTCTTAAATTTACAATATTACATCTTGTTCTTTGATTCTTCAAGGATTTTAAGGATCGTACTTAGCACGAATATATCTAGACCACTTTAAACAAAATAATCTCAGGTTTAGTGTGAAAGCTCATTTTCACCAACTATAGTTACTAGTATTCATCAGTATTGCTTTCCTTTTTTTTTTGCGAATAATGCAGGCTACTCAGTTACAAAAAGTACTGAATAATTACAGTAAGTTACTTTTTACACATAAAGGTCTATGTGGCAACTGAAGTAAATTTTACCTGTTTCTGTGACTTAGTCAAATGAAAAAAACTTAATAAGGCAAATACTACAACTTAAAGTTCTAAACATATCAACAGGTAATTACTCCAAGGACATTACATATACCTATACCTATACCTATACCTATACCTATACCTATACCTATACCTATACCTATACCTATACCTATACCTATACCTATACCTATACCTATACCTAGTACCTATACCTATACCTATACCTATACCTATACCTATACCTATACCTATACCTATACCTATACCTATACCTATACCTATACCTATACCTATACCTATACCTATACCTATACCTATACCTATACCTATACCTATACCTATACCTATACCTATACCTATACCTATACCTATACCTATACCTATACCTATACCTATACCTATACCTATACCTATACCTATACCTATACCTATACCTATACCTATACCTATACCTATACCTATACCTATACCTATACCTATACCTATACCTATACCTATACCTATACCTATACCTATACCTATACCTATACCTATACCTATACCTATACCTATACCTATACCTATACCTATACCTATACCTATACCTATACCTATACCTATACCTATACCTATACCTATACCTATACCTATACCTATACCTATACCTATACCTATACCTATACCTATACCTATACCTATACCTATACCTATACCTATACCTATACCTATACCTATACCTATACCTATACCTATACCTATACCTATACCTATACCTATACCTATACCTATACCTATACCTATACCTATACCTATACCTATACCTATACCCTATACCTATACCTATACCTATACCTATACCTATACCTATACCTATACCTATACCTATACCTATACCTATACCTATACCTATCCTACCTATACCTATACCTATACCTATACCTATACCTATACCTATACCTATACCTAACCTATACCTATACCTATACCTATACCTATACCTATACCTATACCTATACCTATACCTATACCTATACCTATACCTATACCTATACCTATACCTATACCTATACCTATACCTATACCTATACCTATACCTATACCTATACCTATACCTATACCTATACCTATACCTATACCTATACCTATACCAATACCTATACCTATACCTATACCTATACCTATACCTATACCTATACCTATACCTATACCTATACCTATACCTACACCTATACCTACACCTATACCTACACCTATACCTACACCTATACCTACACCTATACCTACACCTATACCTACACCTATGCCTACGCCTACGCCTACGACTACGCCTACGCCTACGCCTACGCCTATGCCAACGCCTATGCCTATGCCTATGCCTACGCCTATGCCTACGCCTATGCCTACGCCTATGCCTACGCCTACGCATACGCCTACGCCTACGCATACGCCTACGCATACGCCTACGCATACGCATACGCCTACGCCTACGCCTACGCCTACGCCTACGCCTACGCCTACACCTACGCCTACGCCTACGCCTACACCTACGCCTACGCCTACACCTACGCCTACACCTACACCTACACCTACACCTACACCTACACCTACACCTACACCTACACCTACACCTACACCTACACCTACACCTACACCTACACCTACACCTACACCTACACCTACACATACACCTACACCTACACCTACACATACACATACACATACACATACACATACACATACACATACACATACACATACACATACACATACACATACACATACACATACACATACACATACACATACACATACACATACACATACACATACACATACACATACACATACACATACACATACACATACACATACACATACACATACACATACACATACACATACACATACACATACACATACACATACACATACACATACACATACACATACACATACACATACACATACACATACACATACACATACACATACACATACACATACACATACACATACACATACACATACACATACACATACACATACACATACACATACACATACACATACACATACACATACACATACACATACACATACACATACACATACACATACAATAACTACGACTACTACTACTGCTACTACTACTACTATAACTACAACAACAAAAACCGCAATTAAGATTTTTGTAATGCTATAAGCCTCTTTATTTCCATAACCCAAACCTTATCAGATATCCTATATATCTACTGATGTAGTGTTCTGGGCATGGGGTGTTATACAGAAGTTAATCGGCAGGGTGGGAGTTAATGACTGGTATACAATAAACTCCTCACATAGTGTTCTCCATAGCAAAAAATCACATTTTTATTGTTGTAATATTCTCAATATGCCTTTACCATTTTAATGATAGAATACAATACCTGGTAGTTAACCAATCTTGTATTCTTTTTTATCCCGCCCTTATCAGCGAACAAACACGTTTCCAGAGACTCAAGTTGATAAGCGTTGCTATGTTACAACGAAGCCTTAACACAACAAACAAGCTAGAATCAATAAGGATTGTTGCATAGTGAAAAAAAAGCTTGTTATATTCAATGACTTGCTGGATTGGCCGATACCATATACTAATGTATAATAAAATGTTTATGTGTGGAAATTACTAAATTCCTTAAACTATACATTGCATACTAGTGCAGCTCTGATTAACGACGGTCGTTTTCTAGACGTTCTATGACTGGTCTCGACCGTTGAGAACACAGCACAGTTAACATAGTTCCTCCACTTTACCGAGATTCAACACATTTATAACTTAAAAACAACAGAACAATTTAATATTATATAAAGCCTAATTGACCCAATGAACATTATTAAGTATCTTGTAGTAATAAAACGGTATATTGTTTTACGTCATGTCGCTTTTTATCGTTGTTGTATGTAAAGCATGTTCAGACTTAACAACCCTTTGTAGGCGCGCAGTGTGAAACATGCCTTATCCTGTCGCAGTTGTTAGGAGCCAAGTGGCAGGATACAGAAACTTTAGGTGGGGTCATGGAATTTAACTACGTAGGGGGTAAATTATTCAATTACGGCATTAAGACCTCACAATATGTATAACAGATGAAGTAGATTTCATGTGTTTTTCGACCTCTGTATATGAAGAGAAGGTTCTGTCGCACTATGTTCATATGCCTTTACTTTCAATAACGTGAGTGGAGGACATCTCACAAACTCTAGCACAGACTGAGATCGGATGACAAGACATTCGAGCAATTAGTCGAATTTCCCAAATCTTAACAACTAAAAGAAAACA